TTTATGTACCTGAAGGTATTTATTGAACCACCACTAATCTTTTTTTTTCCCTGTGCTTACTACTCCGAATCCAATTAACCTTTCTTCAAAGGTCCTGTTTTATAATCTCCTGCTATTTTTTAATAGCAGAAAAAACCAAATGGGCAGTACCTGTGTATGGGTGTTTGAAAACTAGAGGAGCTACCTATATTCTCTCTCCTTGGGATTTTAGGGGTAAGGATCTTAAAGTGCACTTGCACTTAAGCATGACATATTGACATGAGAGATTACAACTTCCATTGTGTAGTCACTTAATCGTACCACACCTAAATGCTCCCTCTCATCCTTGGTGATAATGCCTAGCTAGCGGTCAGCCTCATATTTAGAAACCACTGGAGTCACTACTATTAGTGCTATCTTTTATTGGCTGCTTTGGCCAAGAGGCAAGGAAATAATAGGGGATTGAGGAAGAGATTTTAACTCTCTCAGAGAGATCACCACGGTGGTGAGATAGAGAAGCTGGCCTTTTAGCCTGCTGTAGGAGCTGGAAATAAAGGCTTGAATTTTTAATGTCAGTTTCTCCAGGAAGAACCCCCCTTTCCCATATGATATAAAGATATGTGACATGAGTGATTTGAAACCATTTAATTCATGCCTATGTTTACTTTTATGAAACTCTTCTCCAGCCCAAGACTAAGGTATGCAGGCTCACTCTATATTTATTTTAAAATAGTCCAATTATCATGCAAGAATAAATGCAACTGAACTTTTTTTTGCAAGATACATTTGTTATTTCTTGATACATCTCAAAAGTCATACTTACCCAGTTTCTTGGCGAGCTTGGCTTCTTTTTTTGCATCCACCATCACGAAGCCTATATCTTTATGTTCCAGGACCTGGGCCACAAGCTGAAGGGACAAATAGGAGGGTAAGCGGGCTGAGGGCAGAAAGATGGTCGAAAATATTACAGGATAATATCTGATTATTGACAGGAGGATCTTCCTCCATACATATTTCCTGTTACTCTGTGACCAATGCAAGCAGCAGCGCAGGGATTCTGTGTTTATCCCTTCAGGAGGATGACTCAGAAGAATGCTGAGAAACAAGCAGAGAAAATCAGAGGACCAGACCTAAGCTACTCACTTAATTCATCTTTTTCAAAATTGCCTTAGCTTTATTAGTTCCTTGGCATTTCCATATAAATTTCAGAATAGTCTTGTTTATACCTACCAAAAAAATCTTACTAAGATTTTGATAGAAATTGCATTACCTCTGTATATCTACTTGAAGAGAATAACATATTTACTATGTTGAATCTTCTAACTTATGAACATAGTATGTCTCTCCATGTATTTGATCTTTGATTTCTTTCATCAGCATTGCGTTCAACGTATAAGTCTTGTACAAGTTGTGTTAGATTTATACCTAAGTATTTATTTCAGCCATTGTAATGGTATTGTATTTTTAATTTTAGTGTCTATGTGTTTATTCAACGTATAAGTCTTGTACAAGTTGTGTTAGATTTATATCTAAGTATTTATTTCAGCCATTGTAATGGTATTGTATTTTTAATTTTAGTGTCTATGTGTTTATTGCTAATATATAGATATCAATTGATTTTTAAGGTTTACCTTGTATTTTGCAACCCTGCTGAACTCACTTATTAATTATAATAAGTTTCAGTTTTGGGTTTTTTTTGTAGATTCCTTGGGATTTTCTATTTAGACAATCGTGTTATCTGCAAATAGTTTATTTCTTCCTTTCCAGTCTGTTTGCCTCTTTGTTTCCTTATTGTGCTGGCAAGAACTTCCAGCACTATTTTGAATAAGAGTGGTAAGAGTGCCTTGTTCTCCATTCCTTGGTCTACAAGTGGAGTGGGGGGATAAGGGGGAAGGAGAGGAAGGTTGTGGATAATTGGGTGGGGAACTTGGGGTACAAATGCAATTTATGGTAATGGGTATACTTCCAGTATGAATCTGACCCTCACATCATGGACATGAGGGGTGACAATCAGCTTTGTATCTGATGAATATTCATAACCAATTTAAAAAAAAAAAAGAGTGCCTTGTTCTCTTACCTTGTTTTTTCTTTGTTTCTCAGTCTTAGGGATTTGTCTATTTTTCTTTTCAGTTCTATCATTTTTTGCATCACATATTTTGCAGTTCTACTCTTTGGTTCAGATACCTTTAGGATTTCTTGTCTTCCTGGTGGATTGATCTTGGGTCTTCTTGGCTCTACAACTTATACTATAAATCCCTCTACTTTCTGTTCTATACTTGCTTCCTTTATTTCCCTCTTTATTCCTATGTCTTCCTTAAATTTTCCCAGCATCTATGGCTTCTTGCTTAGATTTCCTCTTCTGTTACAGCTTCCTGAGGTCCCTCTTTGCCTATTCTCTCTTCTCTCCCTGACCTTCTCATCTGCTCCCCATTCTCTCTGGCTTCTAACCACTCCCTTCCTCCAAGGTTAAGGGTAGTGGGCAGAAGCACAGAGAGCTGCTCTGAGCAGTGACCCTGGTGATGGAGTGGAGGCAGGGAAAGGGGCAAGTAACAATTGATACTACCCTGCCCACCACTGGTGCAGTTTTCTTTCCCTTTTTGGATTTTGCTGGGACTAGGAAAGGCTTAGGATGAAAGGCATTATCATCAGTGTTTATGTTATGACTCATCTTGAGCTTTCCTGCAATGCCTAAACAGGCCAGTCTTTCTGCAAAGTAACTGGGCTTTAGTTTATTGCATTCAATCTATTAGACAAGGTTATTTTTGAATAAGTTTTCTGGCTTTCAGTGCAAGCCACTCTGTCCCATTTAGCACTATCGAAACCTTAACTTAACTGTTCCCTTGCCTACCATTCAAAGTCAGTAATGATGAGACCTAATAGCTTCATGATATAGTAAGTTTCCCTACTCATAGAGCATGAGCCTCTGACAGTGGTTCTTAAACTTCAGTGTTCATGAAAGTCACCTGAGGCACTGGTTAGAATGGGGCTTCCTGAGCCTCAGCTCCAGAGAGTACAGACTAGAGCTGGGTGGGGCTCAGGAATCCACATTTTTATAAACCGCACTACCACACCCCATGATTCTGACACAGCAGATCTCAAACCACACCCTAGAAAACACTGCTATAAATGGTTGTCAGTTTACCCAAAGTAATAGGGCATAGTGCTCTTCTCACTGTGACCCATGGGCCCATGCTTGACTCTTTGGCCCCTCGAACTTTGGCATAGGAGAAAAGTATTAATAATAGTAAGAATAACAAACAAGAGGGAAAATGAGAAATTAACTTTGAGAATTAAACAGAGAATTTAAATCTGCCTTCTAGGCATATGCCACCACATTTTGTTTGTTTATAGGTAGATGCAAATGTGTGCCTCTCCTAAGCCAGTAGAGCATAGCCTTCTGGTTACCATATTGATGTTTATATGTGGCTTTTGAAGATATACGAGTGGGAGGTGCTACTGCAAATGAACTCAGTTCTGTTCCTGATTTCCTGGTTAATGAAGCACAGCCAGTCGCTGTCCTGTGCCATGGGTGGATAGACACAGCAGGCTAATCCCGGATGGGCCGGGACCTCCCCCTCCTCAGCACCCTCACGCAGTCCTTGTAGCACCCCCGTCACTCTCGCCTCCCACCCTGATTAGGCCCTGAGCCTGCCTGCTTGAGCTCTGTCATCACTGACATCAGCCCTGGCATGCACCCTTCATGGGCCTGGGCTCCATGTGGCCAGGGCTGGAGCAACCTGAGTGAGCAGTGAGATGGGTGGGGAAACAGCTGTGGGGAAAGCCTGGGGTCTTCTGGGCTGATTTGTGACATGGCCAGGCCCTGAGGACCTGGAAACCCTGCTGGGCTGTGGGGCAGACAGGACACTGTTCACATCCCACACTTGGCTCAGACCTGCCTTGGCCTTTGCTTTGGCCCTAAATCTCCAGCACACACATTCCCTCCTCTCTTTCCTGCAACCCAGTCTCACTGCACTCTCTTAGGTTGCTGCCAGCCCTGGCCCAGCTCCAGGCTCATCTTTCACCCCATGCTCCTTCCTGGAATTCCAGCAGCACATCACAGAGACACAGCACTCTGGCAGTAGCTCTACAATTGTTAGTGGTGTGTAAGTCTCTTCTATATCATGATTCTTTTCTGCCCAAGGAGAGGACCCCATTTTGTGCTTCTTTTGTATCTTGCACATTTCCTTGAAGACACTCAGCATGTGTGGATGAATGGATGGATTGGCGTGAGTACTGCACAAGTTCAAGGGGCTGTCTATATCATGACTCTTTTCTGCCCAAGGAGAGGACCCCATTTTGTGCTTCTTTTGTATCTTGCACATTTCCTTGAAAACACTCAGCATGTGTGGATGAATGGATGGATTGGCGTGAGTACTGCACAAGTTCAAGGGGCTGTGAGCCTAAGAGGCAAGAGGCAATTGCCACTAAACACAGTGACAAAGGGTTACATATATGAGAAGAAAAGATAGAGTCAATATGCCTCGTAAATTCCCAGAAAACTGGAACACTGTTTTCAGATGTGATTGTGATTTTCTCCTGTTGACTTATAACCGTTCCTCTGCTGATTTTGTTTGTTTGCCTGGTTACCTGTCAGTCTTGGCTGTTGTCAGAACATTCAAGAGAATGGGGTTGTCTCTTATCAGCTGTTTGTGCACAGCCCCTGGACACTGCACAGTGCTAACTCCTTCCAGAAACTTTAGATCTGCTTTGACCATGGCTGATTCTTTTGAGTACAGAAATAATTTTTTTAAAAAGTTCTATGTAAATAATATACATAATTCAGTAGTGAAGAAGTGGATATTTATAGCACATCCTTATTCTCTTTTTTAATATTGTAGTCTACAGGTAGCTATAGCACCACTGTTACCTCTGTAATGTTGAGGTCCAGGAAGATCTCATTTTCAAATGAATAAATTACCCAGGGATAGTATATCCCACTAGTTAAAAGCACACTTTTTAAAAAAGTTCTATGTAAATAATATGCATAATTCAGTAGTGAAGAAGTGGATATTTATAGCACATCCTTATTCTCTTTTTTAATATTGTATTCTACAGGTAGCTATAGCACCACTGTTACCTCTGTAATGTTGAGGTCCAGGCAGATCTCATTTTCAAATGAATAAATTACCCAGGGATAGTATATCCCACTAGTTAAAAGCACAGGGCTTGAGATCAGAGACATGGATTCCTGACTTGGTCACAAGCCGGTGCTGTGACTCCATGGCAAAATGTGGACAGTAAAATATCTATTTCAAGGGCTATTTTGAAGATTAACTTAGATAATGCATGTAAAGTGCTTGGCACAGCTTTTGGCATGCAGTAAGTGTTTAATAAATGTTAGATTATCTTCTTAATATTATGCCAGTTGAATAGGGTTCTGGTTCTTGCGCCAATTCAAAAATACCAAAGCCTAAAGTATCACCATGGAAGGAGCACAACAATCATTAATTGAGGACCTACTATGTTACGGTACTGAGCAAAACAAACACATGGAAGACGTGTCAGCTTCAAGGACCTTTTGATTTAATGAGGGAGGAAGCTAATGAAAAATTAGCTCTTGGTGTTAAAGGACTAGGACAGAAAACAAGGGCTGTGGAGGCTTAAAGAGAGAGCGAGCTCATGAGTGGGGAGGTGAAATCACAAAGAGCCCGGTGGGCTGTGATACGTCCTATGGATTTCATTTTCATGTGCTCAGGATGAATCGAAAAATCCCTGATATGGCTGGCAGGCTATGCACGGTTGGCCACACCTGCCTTTCCAGCCTCATCTGGGGTCACTCCACAATACAATCTTCTTTAGTTAGTACAAGCTTCTTTAGTTCCTCAAAACATGAAGATCTTTCCTGCACAGGAGCACCTCCTTCAGCTGTGCTCCCCCTGCAGAGGATGCCTTGTTCTCATTCACATCA